TTTTTTGGTGTTTCAAGACAGGGTTTCTCTGTGTAGCTTTGTGCCTTTCCTGGATCTTGCTCTGTAGACTGGGCTGGCCTCGAACTCACAAAGATCCACCTGGCTCTGCTTCCCGAGCGCTGGAATTAAAGGTGTGTGCCACCACTGCCCGGCAGTTTGATACATTCTTATCAACTGATGATTAACACAGTTCCCTCCTGCCTTCATGTACTTACATTGATTTTTTTTTTTTTTGAAAAAGTTTTGCGCTTTTTTTGTTTGTTTCTTTGTTTGTTTAATAACATCTTTTGTGGGGTGGAGAGTTGGCTCAGCAATTAAGAGTACTTTATTATTTTATGTGTATGAGCGTTTTGCCTGCATGGCTCATCTGATTCCCTTTGAAGCCAGAAAAGGGCATTGGATCTCCTTGGATTTGAGTTACAGATGGTTGTGAGCCACATTGTCGATGCTGGGGATGGAGCCCAGGTCCATGTCAAAGACATAGGCAAGAGCTGTGTAGAAAACTCCGCCAAGGGCCATGAGGGTCAGTCCAAGTCGTCAAGCACTGTGAGCTTTGTCAAGCATCGACTTCAGGACGCTTGGCATCATCATCTCCCCTTTTCTTCTAACTTGTGAAGCATGGGATTCAACTGTCAAGGCTGCAAACCTTTGGTCAGTTGTCCGATGACAACTGGGAATAAGGAAATAAAAGGCGACACTGTAAGAATGCTGATGCCCAAAGTAATAAAAAAGGACCAAGAGTTGGTACATGGGAGCATATAGCCAGGAAGAAAGAGTCAGTAATCTTCTCCATGGTGGAGGAAGAAACAGGAGTCTGAGCTGTGTGGGAGATTCTTTGGTGAAGGGAGGCCATATCCATGGATGAAGCAGAATTATTCCAAATACCTTGTTAGTGTACCTGAACTTGACCCCAGTCATGTTCTGTGTCATTATATGGAATAGGGGTCACACTAATCCTTTTAAAAGTAGAGTGACATTGTACGTTAAATCTAACCTGAGTGTTGTTTAACTGATTTCCTATGAAGAGAACAACTTCCTCTAAGTGTTGATATGATCCCAAAGACCCCTATCAATTTGTTCCTGTAGCATAAGTGCCACAGAAAAGTAGGAAAGTTGATCAACATGAGTGACAGTATGAACATGCTGAACGAGAGCAGCTGTAGACATTATAAAACTGGCCACAGTACCTATTAGAGCTGTGATCCCTAAGATTAAGGCAGCAACAAAACACTTAGGTCACAAGAGAGCAAAAGAGATCTGATCTAGGACTTGTAGCCCAGGATTATCATACCAAGGAGTAGAACCCTTAACAGGCAGAAGGACGTATGGTGGCTGTCTAATGAAAACGTAACATCATAGGAAGAAGCAGCAGTAATGCAGTTAGTAATTATACAACCCAAACAAGAAAGCCTAAAGGAACCATGTCGGTCATAAGAAGTAAGAGAACCTTGAGGTCCTTGATGAAGGATAGCAGAGGAACCTCCAACAGAAGCACAAATAGGTTAGTAACAACCAGGCCCATACAAAGGGTGATACAACAGAACTTTACGAGGAGAGCAGAGAGGAAATAAATCCTTTTGTAAAGGACATTTACGGAGAGAGGTAGGAATAAAGTTGGAGTGGGCCAACCACAGGTATACCAAGTTTGAGGGAATATGGATTGAGGGTCATAAATACATTTTCATTTCTTAGATTCAAAATGTTTTATAATCAAAGCTAGAATTATTAACCGACCAGACAGTAATGGTAAAAGAGGCATTAAAAGGATGATAATGAGGGCCAGCTGGTGGTAGCACATGCCTTTAATCCCAGCACTTGGGAGGCACAGCCAGGTGGATCTCTGTGAGTTCAAGGCCAGCCTGGTCTACAGAGTAAATTCCAGGACAGGCACCAAAATTACACAGAGAAACCCTGTCTCAGAAAACCAAAAAAAAAAAAAAAAAAAAAAAAAAGATAATGAACAGAATTATTTGCAAAGCCACAAGAAAACCATTTAGGACAAGTTTCTCTGGAGGAACTATGTGTCCATACATTATCCAGTGTGGAAGGATCAGGACAAGCAGGGTATCCAGAAGGCAATGGCACATCAGTAGTCTCATATTTACTATCCTTGAGGGCAGGAAGCATAATTTGTAGATCCCAAAGATATATATGTTTGTTAACAGAGGTAATAGTTATTCTACCAGGGGAATCAGCAAATCAAAGCATGTTGGATAAGCAAAAACTAACCAGTAACTGGGGAAGCAGAATCAGTGTGAAAACAGATGGGCAATGATCAGAAACACCTTGGTATATAATATTATCACATTCCCGATGGAACAAATACTCACTGCTCTCTCCTCCCATAAGATCCACAGCATCGGCTATAACTTTAACAGAAGCGAAGTCCCATGTTGTAAAATGAAAAATAGGAGGATCAGGTAAATAAGCCCAGTATGTGGCTGCATCACAGCCAGGAAGAGCAATAGACCTCAGTTGTAATTAGAGATACCCCAGCAAAAAGCAGATTTTCTGGTGTGCACAGCAGCGCCTAAGTTTCGATCAAACTTTCAGTACGATTGCTGAGCGACTTCAGTTTTCCCCAAGTTGGTACTGGCTGCTACCTGGAAGCCAGGGCAGGAACACCAATGAAGTTTGTTAAGAGCCGAGCCAAAGATTCAACTGAGCAAGATGGAGGAGGAGTGCCTGTTTGTGCAGAAGCAGGGGGAGGATCACGAGTGTTGTCTGCTGAGTCGAAGTGTGAGAAAGTGGTTGTGGTGGATCAGAGGCAATTCCACAATAAGGCCTGATGAGTGGATCCCGGATCCAGATAAGTGAGTCTGCATTCTGTGGAAAAACACAAACATACCCTCAACCCAAAGCTGGCAATATATCGGCACCTTGACAGGTTCCTGTAATCACGCCATTTTACCAAAGGTTTTGGGGGAACGGAAGACTTAGGCTCCCAGTGTCTTAAGAACATAGGGGAAGTCCCCACTTCCTCTCTACTAAGATGATTTAGAACAAAGAGTGGGTGGGGAGTGGTATTTAAGTTCACCTCTTGTAACCTAAAATCACATGCTTTAAGGGTCTGATGGGCTTTTCCCACAATGGCCTGACCATGTAGGTTATAGGGAATACCCGTAGTATGTTTTATATTAAATGTCAAACAAATTTG